CACCCGGAAGCACCTCCCCCCCGTCCGCCCCGGCGGGCCACGCCCCCAGCTGGCCTTCTCAGTGAGTGAGCGTCAGCCTGGCCTCGGCCGCGGTGGGGCAGTGTCTGTCTGATTAGAGGCCTGGCCAATCAAGTGCGCGGAGGGGCTGGAGAGCCCGCCCCTCCCAGACGTGGGAAGGCCGGAGAGACCCCACGTGGGGGCACAGGAACCTCTCCCGAGGGGACCTGGCGGGTGAACTTGTCTCGGAGCTGGTGCAGCCCGAATTTTGCCCCTGGGTTCACTTTACAGTTCTCTTCCCAGTCTCCCGCGAGCTGGGCTCCAGTTCATCTGCTCAAAGAACAACTGGATGTCAAGGCCGTTAGAACAACACCCTCGTGCTTCACAGAATCCCAAGTCCATTTTGGTGGACTGAACGTTTCAAAGTTCTTGAGTTCAGCATCAGACTGTCTTCCATGTTTTTAGACAAGGCTGATTCCGGTGGAATTGATTACCCAGGGCCTACTCTGCGCCATGGGTTGGGTGATGTGATGTAATACACGTGGGATTAAAAATAAACTCTCCAAGTTTGACTGGGACCTGACTTTGATGGGTTCAATGAGAGCTGACCAAAGGTCTGAGGGGCGTGGGGCAGTTATGTGTAGGGATGAGAGGCATCTGGTGAGGTTAATGGGGTCTGAAATGAGACAGAGCAAAACTGGTGGTTGCAATGGCCGGGGTGGCCCAGGCAACAGGAGTAACTGCTACATGGGTTAAGCACATGAAATGATTTATCTTCGGCGAATTTCATGTCAGTCTGCGGCCAGGCCACTACATAATTCAAGGCCAGTCCAGATTACAAAACCGTGCTCAGAAAAACAAAAATAAACCCCCAAAACAAAAACAAAACAAAAAGGAAACGACTAAATGACACTGAGATACAATCTCAGATCTCATAAATTTGTGTTAAGATCCTCACCAAACATTTTTCTCTGAAGAGTCTTAATTTCCCAGTGGTAAAAATAGGGGGCCAGACCTCAAAAGTAGTTTTGAATGGGTTATGACAGAACCCTCTTAAATCTTCCAGATCCACATATCACAATCTCTGGGCATACAGGGCCATGCTTCAGAAAATATGAAAAGAAGTAGCCTGGCTGGGAAAAACTGATGATCTCAAAGATTATTCCTAGTTGCTAAAATTCTGTAGTTTTCAGCAGGACATGGTGGCATACACCTAATACCAACAGTTGGGAGGCCGAGGCAGGAGGATCACTGTAAATTCTAGACCAGAGTGGGTACATACAGTGAATTCAAGACCAGCATGGGATACATAGCAAGACCCTGTCTCAAATAGCAACAAAAACAAAAAATAGTACTTTTAAATTATAGTCACCTCCTTCGGGACACTTTTTAAAAATTTTACAGTATTGAGGATTGGACTCGGCCTTTGCACTGGCCTCTGAAGTATGATCAGTGTATAAATAAAGAAGAAATTATTACAGCAGACACAGTGCCATTAAGTCCCCTTGCTTCTAACACACTCCTTCATTCCTGCCACTTTTTGCAGCAGTTCTGGAAGTCCTTTCATTGACTGTCTTTTTAGTTGCCCTGTCATGCCTGCCTCAATGTCCTGATGTCAAAAAGTTTACCTTTTATGGTCATTTTGACTTTGAGCAAGAGCGAGAAGTCACACAGTGTCATATCCAGTGAACAAGGTAGATAAGGTTACTGTAATGTTTTTTAGAAGCTTGCTTTTCCATTGGTATCCACAGCAGCATTCACTGTAGTTCTGATTACACACTCACCAAAGAGGACTTGCTTCAGAAAGTAGCAAGAACGATGACTATTTTAAGGGGAATTAATGGCAATGTCTTTTACTGTAATAAAATATTTTAAACATTTACTGTTTGTACATCTTCAGCCATTTAAAAATTTTGACACACAATTTTGCTCAATTGCCTAGGCTGGGCTCAAACGTACAACCCTATCCAGACTTCTGTTATTACAGGAGTGCACCACTACACCCAACAGGAAAATCTTTTTCTTAGGAAGTTAACTTTGGGGGATTAATAGGGTAAGATAAACTCAAACCATAAGGAAGGTAATTTTTTGGGATCCATTCTTTTTGTTTCACTTTATTTTTTGATACAGCATCTAGCTGTGTAGTTCAAGTTGGCCTTGAACTGGCAGCAATTCTCCTGCCTCAGCTTCCCGAGTGCTGGGATTACAGGTGACCTACCACGCCTGCCTTTTTTTGGGATACATTCTCGATTGGAATGTATACAGCCTTATTTTGTTTTCGTTTTTCTTGGTTTTTTTTGAGATAGTGTCTCACTACGTAGTTGAGACTGACCTGGAGCTCACTATGTAGCCCAGGCTGGTCTTGAACTCACAGCGATCTTCCTGCCTCAGCCTCCCGAGTGCTGGGATTGCAGGCGTGTACCACCAAGCCTGGCAATATGGCCTTATTTTGGAAAGTAGATTAAAATAGATGATAGGGTAAGCCTTCCTTTGAAGGTTTTGAATAACAAGGCTAAGTATGGATTGGATTTCACAAGGAACAGGGAGGGACTGTAATACAGCTGTGATCCAGGAAGATCCATTTGGCAAGCAGAACACAGACGTAGCTAGGGGAAGCAGAGATGAGGCAGGAAACTGAGCTCAAAGGAAGCCATAGGAGTTTAGAAAGGCCTTGAGCACTTAGCCTTCAGTGGTGCTCTTGGGAACTAAGAAAGGATGTTCCAAAAAGAAAAAGGATGTTCCTGCTGCGGAGGAAAAAACCATTAGATCAAGTGACCAGAGGGGTTGTATCTTTGTGAAATGTCATTGTAAATTTGATTTGCAGGAGCTATATAGATAGGTAATACATACTTGTGGTTAATTGATAATAGAAATAACAGAAATACTGTTTCAGTGCGTTTATGAATTAATACTTAAAAAACATTGACAACAACGCCAGCACAGGGGAGGCTCATTAAATGAAGGTGTGGACAACGTAGTACCACCACAGGGTGCCCAGGACCACCAGAATCTTGCTATGGTTTAATAGCAGCATCTGCTGGTCATTCCAGGTGATGCAGGACTCCATGTTTACAAAGGTCTAGCACAGGGCACACCCCCAAATACTGTGCAGGGCGTTAATCAGTGGGTACTCTCCAAAAGCATACTCTTATCACTATATATTTATGAGGCCTCACTTTAAACAAGAATTCTTTATTTGTACAAAGCATTAAAATCTCAACAGTGGTCAGTCATTTATAAACAAAATTTTCACTGTATTCATTTAACCAGTTAACGGAGTCAAACTACACTGTACTTCCTACCTGTCAAATCCCGAGCACTCAACTGTGACAAAGAGGTGCCTGGAACACTGAATAGAAAAAGAAAAAGGCTAAGAAAAGCCAACAAACACTTTAGAAACAGTTCAAGGGAATAGTTGGTCTAGGGGGTTAGATTCCTGAGCACCATCAGATCTTTCTCAATATTCAGAGGAGTTTCACAAAATCATTTTTAAGACATGGATTAGAACTAAGGAACTAGGAACCTGCATTTTGGGACATTGAGTAGGTATCCAGCTACTAGATTTGTAGATGAAGTGAATGAAAGGGGGCGAGGGGGCCAGGGATTTAGCTCAGTGGTTCCGCCTGCATTGCAGGGACCCAAGTTCAATCCCTGGTACCAAAAAAAAAAAAAAAAAAACAAAAAACAGAAAAAAAAAGGGGGTGGGGAGAGAAAGTCTGAATGGGAAGCAGGAGAGGCAGAAAAGAAATAGAAAGAAGCACAGAAGGAAAAAGTGGTTAGATGAAGTAAAGCCTGGAACCTGGCAGGAAAAAAATTAAAAACCATAGCCACAAGTCTGAGGGATGGACATAATAAGAGAAAGCCTGGGATTTTACACCTTCCAGGAGGCAACAATAAATCCTAAAGTACAAGGACAGCAAGGGTGAGGTAAACCTAAGATTAAGCCATCTGTTCTGTAAATCCCTTGTCTGTCAACTTCCAATCTATATTGCTAATTTAAGAGCATACTATGCCCAGAGCACAGCCACCCTAGCAGGTCGGATGCCTAAAGGAAATACAGAAGGGCCACAAGCCAAGTAGGTTTAGAGAAACCAGAATTTAATTAATGCTCTCAAGTGAAGAAACCATAGAACAGACTATCTTTAAAAAAACAAACAAACAAAAAACATAACAAAAAAAACCCAAAACAGTTCAGTGGGAGTGCTGAGCTACATACCCAGTCTCTTTTATCTTTTTTTGTGGGGGGGGAGTGGTTACAGGGTCTCACTGAGTTGCTCAAGTTGGGCTCAAAACTTGCAGTTCTCCTGTTTCAGCCTCCCAAGCAGCTGGGATCACAAGCATGTGACACCATACCCACTCCATTGTGATCATTCTTGGTAAGCTACTGTAAATCAAATATGGATCAAAAGCTCACGATCAAAGCCCTAATTTTTCCTGAGCCTTCACTGCCTCTGTGATGCAACACAGCAGGCAGGACAGAAATTATTATTCCTTTTTTGGAGGAGCAGGAAGACTGGTGATCAAAAAAACTATATAACCATACAGGTAAGTAAACAAGATAACAAATCGCTAATTTAATTAGCTGTTCAGAATCCCTCTTGCCAAAAAGTAATAACCTTCAAACCGATTAAACAATAGAGGATTCTGCTACTTAGATGCTCGGAGTTGGTGAAACGCTGGTTTTGATGATAATTATAGTCAGTTTTTATTGAGATCTTCCCAGGCTCTTGTGCCCAAGACTACTCTGCCCAGCAGGGAAAAACTTCACATACACATGTACCACGTTTCAGAGTGGGAGCTCCCACAGTGCCACAGTCTTCCCACCCTGTTAGTTGTCTACTTCCTCCTCTTCATTCTGTTCTTCTTCTTCCAGCCTCTCTTCATCTTCATCATTCTCCTCCTCCCTGCTCCTGTCTTGCTCTTCTGAATCTGGTTTTTTATCTTTGTCCTTCTTCTTTTGTTCTGAAGCCTCCTTCTTGCCTTTCTGCTCCCGCCTATATGCTGTAAGGAAGGAGGGGGTTAAGAGGCAGGGCTGGAAGAGGGCACCAGACACTGCAGCAGCTAACTCCACTGTATAATTGTAAAAGCTGAGAGAAGTAAGAGATTTGATGTGGGGCAAGCTGAACCCGGTGGAGTCACAACCAATACTGGCTTAATAGACTTAGAGGATTCAAAGTGGAAAGCCTCAAGGCCAGATGAACAGGTCACACGGGATGATCATCTTCTACATGGTTTAGAAAACTGAAGAGACTGTTACCTTCCAGAGCTTCTTTTAACGGGGTAATGAAACGCTGGAATTCCATCTCTTCCATGGCTGAGAGCACATCACTGGCATTGAGTGTCTTGCGTTTCCCTTTCATTGCAAAGTTGTTGGCACTGAAAAAATAAAAGCAAAAGCCATTTTTGCTATTATTATTATTATTTTTTTGCCTTGTGGTATTGGTGAGAAAAGATCATCTAGGGGTGGGGTGGGAAAGCCTACTATGTCATAGATGCAAAGCTTATTGTCCTCTTCTCTGTAGAAAAAAAGGCTGCGCAGTTATTCTGCAGTTTAATGTCTCACGACATATTAGAACGGGAGAAAGGCCGTGAATCTCTCCCCACTGAGACAGCAAACATATATTGGGGTCTGTGGGTTCCAGATCACGAACCCCGAGCCTCTGTGCCTCCCTTACTTCTCTGCCGCGCTCACCAGGATGTGGCGTACAGCACAAAGACGCTGGCAGCGCGGGAGATGGCGCTCCGGGCCTCCTTGGAGATGCTGACACCGTCAGGGAGCTGTGAGGAGAACTGGGATGTGGAAAGCTGCCCGCCCAAGGACCCGCTTCCCTCCTGCCCTCTCGTCCACCCGTGGCCACCCGCCTGCCCGAGCAGCTCACTGCCTCTTTGATGATCCTGGTGATGACGGCATTGGGCAGGTTTAGGTCCTCGGGCCTCTCCGCCATTGCGGCCGCAGGGGCCGGAGGGTCCTCTGCCACAGGCCTTCTCGTCAGGCTGCTATCTCGTCCAGACTTCCCGCGTCGCTACGATCTGATCCTCCGAGGCACCCGTCCGGCCCCACGTTGCCCACACTGTGTCCCACAGTGCCTCGCGCGTCATAGCCTTCCTCTTTTACCCAGCCCCGCCTTCTCAAGACGCCGGTGAGTCTAAACTTTCCATGCTGCAATGGTTTTGGCCCGCCGGGGCTTCTGCCTGGTCCCACTGTGCCCCTATGTTCCTCCTTATGTTCATTTCTCTGCTTTATTCCATTACTGCCGCCGCGTTTCCTCACCAAATGAAGTATGAGTCACTGAGGCTTCCGTCTGCTTCCCATCGTGCTCTGCGCCGCTGTTTGACGACGGCTCGGAACAGCGGCTCTCAGGGAAGCAAAGGAGCAAACTAGTTGGGCGGGGCTCCTGTGAACAAGAGGCGGGGCTCAACCCCAACGGGCGCTGCGAGGGGCAAAATTACTAGCCTGTCTCTATAAACCTCGAGGTTTTCAATCCGCGCTGAATCTGCGGACCTGAGGCGTTGGCTTCTTCCACCTTTGTTTTGATTTTTTTCCTCGTCCAAAATGAAGGAAGGAATTTTTTTCTACTCTGGTGAATTCAATGTTCATATCTTTTCTCCCCTAATAACTTTATAATAATAGTATTTAAAGAATAGCTTTACCGAGTTTTTTTGTTTTGTTTTCCAGCGCGAATCATTTTGCTAACAGCTCTAATGCTGGCATTATCAAGATGTGCCTGATAACACCTCGGGGCTCATTTCGGGCTGGGTAGGTAACTAAAGGGTGAGAAGCAGCTGTTTTGTAAGGAAATTGAGCACGACATTCGCATTACAAAACAACCCCTGCTAAAGTTGTATTTATTTATTAATTCATTATATTTATTTCCCTGTGGAAATCATTATTAAGGTTTTGCAGTGGCGTTGTAAGTAGTATTTTTTGTTTGCTTGTTTTGGCGACAGGTTCTCGTTGGGTAGGTCAGGCTGGCTTTGAACTATTATGTAGCCCAGGCTTGCCTCAAACTGGCATCAATCCTTATGCTTTAGCCTCCAGAGCGCTGGTATTATGGTGTGCGTCACCATGCTGAGGTTTATACTGCATTCATTTTATAGTACTTATGTAGAAATTCTCACTCCCAAGAGCACTAATGCTGCTGCTTTTTTTTTCCTTGAGACATGTCTCAAGACTCATCTTTTATGCTGTGGATGGAAATACAGTTACAGAGAAATATTTCCCTATTAGAAAAAAACAACAGGGCAGCCAGGTTTGGTGTTACACACCTGTAGTTCTACCCCTGGAGAGGTTGACACTGGAGAATCGCTGGGAGTTTGAGGCCTGCCTGGGCTTCGTAGTGAGTTCAAGGCCAGCCTGAACTGCATAGACACTCTTATCTTAAACAAAAAACCACAACAACAAAAAAGAACGAACAACAGGGCAAATATAAATGGCAGCTGAAACTGCTAACGTTAGAGACTATTGCTTCTGGTGGGGGAACTGCACTTGGATAGAACAGGCCTAGTTTAAAGATGTCAGAAGCTACTTGGCTTAAGCCAGTTGCTGTCTTGTTGGAACTGAGCCCAGGGTTGTCAGACATTTAAATCTCTAAGAGGAGCCAGAAATTTGGAGTTTTAAAATTCTGGCTTAAAGTACTGGCCAAACTAAACAAGTCATGGGTAAAAAATGCAATCCTAGGCCAGTATCTTTGCCTTAGGTTTGCTGTCTTTAATCTAAATTAAAAAGCAGGGAGTTTTAGCTGAGAGGGTGGCATAAGCCTGTAATCCCAGCACTCCTTGAGGTTGAAGAAAGAGGATCACAAGTTCAAGCCTAACCTGGCAATTTACAATTTAGCAAGACTCTGTCTCAAATAAAAAAAAAAAAAAAAAAAAAAGGCCTGGGATATAATTCAGTGCAAAGATCCTGGTTTCAGTCCCCAGTACCATACCACACACACACACACACACACACACACACACACACAAATGGAGTTTGCTTGGGGCTGTTCTTCATGCTCCAAACAAGTCTTCTTACATACAATATTTGGTAGTCAGTAAAGGTTTCATAAAGGAAAAAAGAAGTGGACAGTTTCCTAAAAGTTATTAGAAGCCAGGTGTGGTGTTACTTGCCTGCAATTCCTGCACCCTAGGAGGCTGGGGCGGGAGGACTGCAAATTCAAGTCCAGCCTGGGTAGTTTATTGACTTAGTGAGATCCTGTCTCAAAATAAAAAATAAATTTTTATAAGGGCTGGATGTGAAGGCCCTAGATTCAATCCCAGTACTGTAGTAGTGGTGGTGGGGTCATTAGAGATAAGGTGGTAGTGATCATCTAAAACATCTTTAGAGAGGGAAAGATAATATTTATCGAGTACTTGTTGTATATGAAAGTACCTTTTTCCCCTTGATAAGGAAATAGGCTGAGAGAGGGGAAGTACTGTAACGTGGCCAAGGCCATATAGCTGATAAATGAAAAGCTAATGGTCCCTGAAACAGCTGCAAATCAACTGTTGTGTTTGAACAAATCCATTCATCGCTGGTGGCTGTTTTACCCACCTGCCTGAGAATTATAGCATATTGAAACGATGAAGTCTGTCTTCCAAAGGTTTGAATTATCTAAAGCACTTCTGTGATGTGACTTAATTGGTTGTAATTTGATAAAGCTTTTCAGAGATGGTGGCATAACTTCCTAAAGATTAATGCATGGGAAAAAGGATGCCAATATTTATTTTGAACTATATGTCTGACCTTTTAATATCCATTAACTAATTTTTATAATGACTGAAGCAGGTTTATGCTCATTGTACAAATGAGGACACTGAGGCTTGGTTTGGTTAAATCCCATGTCATTCAGATATTAAATGGCAAATTAGGAGACCTGAAATCGTTTTGCTTTCAGTCTTGCTATTTGATCTCATGGTGAGATGTTTTCATACTTAGGCAATTGAGCTTTACTACTTACTTATCTTGTGTCCACCTGTACCTATATAGGTTCAATAGAAATATTTTAAGATTTGAGTCCAAATTAAAGACTGGATGGCTAATGTGTAATAATACTCCCTAATTATGTGGCTATTGATTCTCAGAAAGCTGCAGGATTGGCCTTTGTCCTAAACCATCGATAGGCATGGATTTGCCAGATGACAGCCAGTGGGATGAAACCATCTGTGACTTGCCTGTTTGTCCGCATCCACAATGCTGGGCAGCTGTCCGTCGAATTGAAAAGGGCCATCCTCGAATTCTGAGCTCACCCTGCAAAACTACCTTGGGTGCTGAAGGTGAATTAGTTAGCTTCTGTCTTCTATCTCAGGAGGTCCTTAGACTGTGTCTGTACGGCTCCCTTTCTCTAGGCAACACATGACATGTTTTCTTCTGATCTGTTTTCTCAGATAAACTCCCAGTGCTCACTGTTGTAAACATCTCAGATTCCTGCTTCCAGGCCAAGAAACCTGCTCTTCGACAATCACCAGAATTTACCTTCACTAAAGCTCATTCTTTATTGTCTCGAAGTTCAAAGCTTGCCTACAAATTTCAAGGCAGGTAAATTATCCTGGTATCTTCCTCTAGTAGGTTGTTGTCTCAAAATTCTAGGTTATGATTTCCCTTGTGCATGTTTGCAAAGTTCAAAAAGACACTTAAAAAAAAAAAAAGGTACTAATTTGCTTAAAGCAATGATGAATAGATGTAGGGAAACAAAGCATTCCTGCCTGCTGTGTTCTAGGAGTTGATAATTTGGGCTGTTTTGGTTTGCTTAGGGCTGCTGGAACAAAATAGCAGAGATTGGGTGGCTTAAAACAATGAACTTCATTTAAATCCACAGTTCTGGAGGTTAGAAGTATGAGATCAAGTTGTGTGCAGGGTTGTTTTAATTTGAGGCCTCTCCATAGCTTGTAGATGCCTGTTATCTCCTTGTGTCTTCATAATCTTCCCTTTGTGTTTGCCAGTGTCCCAATCTCATTTTGTAAATGTGCCAGTTATATTGCATTAAGGCCCACTCCTATGACCTCATTTTACCTTAATTATCTTTTAAAAGTCCCTCTCTCCAAATACTATCACATTTTTAGGAATTTAACGGATGAGTGTTGGGGGAAGGAGATACAAACCAGCTCCTCCCAGGGGTATTTTATCAGTTTCTGTAGGTCATCAGAAAACTGTCCACACATGCCATCCTTCTTATCTCTTATTTTCAGGTATGAACAACTATTTGTGAGCTCCCGGAGGCAGAAACAGTGGCTTTTCTTTTTGAATTTCCTAGGAAGTCTAGGCACAGATCTTGCTGATACATGAAACTGAGGGGCAACTATCTGTAAAAAACTGAGACTTTTAAATTTGGACTCTATTGCCTGAAATTCAAGTGCTAATAGTGGTCCTTGTAATGTTTTATTTTCTTCTATGTAAGCAGTTCCTGTGGATTTTTCTTAGCTAAACTAGCATCGGAAAGACTAGGGCTATTTTCAGGGGTCTCTGGGACTTGGGTCCTAGGACAATGGCAGCACCTCGCAGTGAGGATCCGGTGTGCTTCACATCCACGCGCATGCGCGTGCGCACACACACACACACACACACACACACACACCCCCACACTTCTACCCCACCCTGCCCAGATGTGCGGTGTGCTAAGGGCCACCTTATCTAGTCAGCTCCTGCTTCCATGCCTTCTCTTTCAGTCTCTTACTTTTTACTTCATGTGTGGTTTTGCAATGATTGCTTTTTTTGTCCTTGCAGTGGTGGTGCCTGAATACAGGGCCTCTCACACACTAGGCAAGTGCTCTACCATTACACTACATCCCCAGCCCTGAAGTGACTTATGAACTGCTCTCACCGCCCTTTCCTTGCTAAACAATCTGACAAATGATCAACTGATTATGCTTCAACAAATACTGTTTTGCTCATCTCCTTGAATAGAATGCCTCTTCTTTTACTAAAGAATAGTCCATGCCTCCTCATTCTGGAGTTGTGTCCTCTTTACCATCTGACTCCTCTCTAGTCATAGAATCTTCTCATCTTGGATGCCAGCTTTTCCTCTGAGCCAGACTGTTTTTCTATTTGTTCTTTTCTGTCTCTTAACATTTGCTCAACCTTAAGACCCTCACACCTCTTCTCTGCTTCATTAAGTCCAGGCATGGCCTGTATGGCTGTGTGAGACCCTGCCTTCCCAGTAGACCTCATCCTGCATTTCTTTCTTTCCTTGGTCAGTAGGTTCCAACAGCACCACTCTCTGTACTCTACATGTAGTTCTACTTCATGAATAGGGATTGGAGAGCTACTCTGTCCTCTGAATGGTTTCCCTATATTAGAGCTTTCAACCCTGCACTATTAACATTTTGGGGTCATTCATTCTTTGTTGTAGGGACTGTCCAGAGCAGTATTGGATGTTTCACTGCATCCCTGGAAAGCTAGAAGAATCTCACCTGCAGTTGGGACAACCCCAGAATGCCTCCAGACATTTCCAGCTGACCCCTAGGGATGAAACAAAAGTTGCTTTTGCATAGAAATCTTCTGCGACCACCCTGTATGAAATTTCCCTACACCTTTGCCATCATCTAACCTTGCTTCTTTTTCTGAATTCCTTTCTGAAGTGTTCTTTGGTCTGCTTGCCTCCCTTCACTGGAATGTCAGTTCTGAGAGCAGGAACCATGTTTTTTGTTGTTGTTATTGTTATTCACTACTCTGTCTCTTGTGTCTTCAGTAGTGTGTGGCATAAAATAGAAGTTCACTAAGTATTGGTGAATGGATGAATATGTTCTCATCTGTGTCAGGGTTGAATTTTCCCATTTACTGCTGCCCTGGGGGCTCACTCTTCTTAACTACCCCAGCATTCATTGTCCTTAGTAGGCTCTTGGATATTTTTATGGCTGTGTCCTGTTTGCTCAACTGGATTTTAAAGCCCATTGAAGGTGAGAGTCATGACAGGATATCGTTTGTTTAATTGCACCCGTGGGACCCTGTCTCAAAAAAAAAAAAAAAAAAAAAAAAAAAAAAAAAAAAGATAAAAAAGAAAAAAGGCTGGGTGGAGAGATAGCTTAGTGTGAAGGTCCTGGGTTCAATGCCAGTACCACAAAAAACAAAAACAAAACAACCAACCAACCAAACAGCAACAACGCCCCCCCCCACAAAACCATCAAAATAAAACAAAAAACCTAAACTCAAAATCCCAGATTTACAAAGCTCAATGCCCCGTTATCTTGTTTACGATACGGCCTTCATCCTTGAGGGATTTTCAGCCTAGTTGGGGAGGCAAAAAAGTGTGTGATGAATGTCATGAGTGGACTGGTGCCTGGGTATGTGAAAGCACCAGAAAAGGTTCCTAACCGGGATGCTGTACACATCAGTCGCCTAGCCCAGAAGTTGAGCATTCTAGTGAAGTGAGGATTGCAGGTGGGAAGTGGGCTAGAAGATGGTTCTAAATTATAGGGATAGCATGTTCAAAGGCCTGGACAGTGAGAGCAAATTCTGTAGGTATAGTATCAGGAAAATAGTTTGTTGTATCTGAGATGTGGAACAGGAATGGAAAAGTGATCAGAAATGAACTAAGGAGTAGAGTAGAAAATGCAGACCCTTGCTATTTATTTTATAGAAATCGGTGTCTATATTATGCAGAACTTCATAAATCAGGTTCAGTCTTTTTCTCATATCTCTTGGTATTATTTATTCACACTTTTTTGGTTTTGTTTTATTTTGTTTCTCTGAGACAGTGTCTCACAATGTCATCTAGGCCATCCTTGAACTTGCTATATAGCCAGGCTGGCCGTGAATTTGGCAATCCTACTGCCTCAGCTTCCCAAAGTGCTACAATTAAAGGCATGCACTATCACACTGGAGCTTTTAAAAAAAAAATCTGTGGTGAAGATACATAACAAAAATTAACCATTTTAACTATTTTAAAATGTAGAATTCACAATGTTGTGCAACCATAACCTCTGGCGATTTCTAGAACCTTTTCTTTATCTCAAACAGAAGCTGAATTCATTAAACAGTGGTTCTGAATTTCCTTTTCTTCCCTGGTAATCTCTATTTTCTGTCTCATTGAAGTTGTCTATTCTAGGTAATTCACGTAGGTGGACTCATACAAAATCTGACCTTTTGTCTCTGGCTTATATCACTTTATGTAATATTTTCAAGTTTCATCTAAGATGTAGCATGTATCAGAGTTTCATTACTTTTTAAAGGTGAATAATATTCTATTGTATGTACATGTCACATCTTATTTATTTAGCATGCTTTGAACATTTCCATCAGTGTTGACTAATGGCTTGATTGTTTTGAGGAATGGATGCAGGACCTTCCCACTGAACTCTGTCCTCATCCCTTTTCTAAATTTTTGATTTTTGAGATAAGGTCTTGCTAAGTTGCTGAATTGTCCAGGGCCAAGGCTGAGTTAGTGATCCTCCTGCCTTAGACTTCGAGGATGGTGCCAATATGCACCCAGCTGCATCAGCTTTTATTGATGACGCACCTGTCTTTAGCTCCAGACAGAGGCATAGGCTGTGAATGCAGTTTGGTATAAAGCAGTGAACTGTTTGCAGTGTGTGATGTCTGTTTAGGAGCCTCTACATTCATACCAAGCCCAAGGTTTTCTGTGGATAGGTAGAAGAGTTTTTCTTATAGCACTTATTCTATCATCCCAGTGTCTTATGTGTTTCATATTTACAACTTTTGTGTTTCAGGCCTCATAAGGATTCACCTGACAAAGGTTTGATCACCTATACTAAGAGATCTCCCAAAGAAAGTCACAAAAAGGTACTTCCTCAACATTTTCTCTTTACTAATGGGAATGAAATATTTTATCTTTAATGTTATTCTTCAAGATCACTATAATCAGAATAGTAGTGATGATAAGCTGGGTATGGTGGCACAGGTCTGTAATTCCAGCACTCTAGGAACTGAGTCAGGAGGATTAAAAGTTTGAGTCCAACCTGAGTAATTTAGCAACTTAGTGAGACCTTATCTCAAAATAAAAATTAAAAAAAAGGGGCCAGGGACTTAGCTCATTGGCACCCTGCCTGGCAAGTGCAAGGTCCTGAGTTCAATTCCTGGTCTGGGGTGGGTTGGGGGAGGCTGAGGATGTAGCTTAGTGTGAAAGTCCTGGGTTCAATGCCCAATATGGCCAAAAACAGAGAAAAAAATGCTAATAACTATGTAGTATTGGGTCCTTACTATATTCTAGGCTCTTCGCTAATGGCTTTACATGCTATATTGTTTTCAGAAATCCCAGACTTTTTTTTTTTAAATAAAATTAAGTCCACATTTTATTTAAGGATTTCAAATTTCTAAAATGGAACAGAACGATCTTGGAATGCAGAAATAGCATAAATGAACATTGACATCCCTTGAAAGTCAAATTTTACAGAGAAAAGAATTCCTCTGCAAACCACATCCCCATTACATAACATGATGAAATATTATCTATCTCTTCACTTTGGCAATAGCTATTTCCCAAAGGAATGGGGAAAAGTGATTTTGTTACTTCTTTAATTAAAAATGGGATTCTACCTTTAGATTAAAAAAATTTTTTTGTTTTTTGAGACAGGGTCTCACTATGTAGTTGAGACTGATCTGGAACTCACTATTGTAGCCCAGGCTGGTGAACTCACAGCAATCCTCCCACCTCAGCCTCCCAAATGCTGGGATTACAGGCATGTGCCACCACGCCCAGCTCTTTAGATTAAAATTGTAAAGATCAGAAAAAGCTATGTTTAGATAAAATATGGTTAGAAAAAAAAACAACAACACAGAATGTCTAATCAAAATTCTGAAAATAAAAAGGAAAAAAACTACTGTGATTGGTTAAGGATTTCCAGTAGTTAGGAGTCTCAGGAAGAGGATGGATAGTTCTACACAAATGTGTTCACATTTTGAGCCCTTAATACTAAATTTTCAGAAAGAAAAGGATCACTTGTAAAAACATATCAACAAAATATTTATTAACAGCAGGAATTCTAGACTTTCCTTTTAGTCCATTCTCATTATCAAAAATAAGTTCATCCCTCAAAATTAACAGTAATTAGAGCCGGGCATGGTGGCTCACGCCTGTAATCCTAGCACTCAGGAGGCTGAGGCAGGAGGATCTTGTGAGTTCGAGACCAGCCTGGGCCCCATAGTGAGTTCCAGGTCAGTCTCAACTACATAGTGAGACCCTGTCTCAAAAAACAAAACAAAACAAAAATTAACAGTAATTAGCCTGAAGTATTTTTAAATGTGGCTCTGAAGTCTCAAACTTAACAGCATTCCCCTCCCCAAAATGGTCTTATTACCACTTTAGGCCCACAATCTCTAGTATTTACTACAATATGGTCACCTAGAATATCTGAGGAAAAATAATCCTTGGACTTTTTTAAACAAACCCATCCCCATCCGTTTTCACTAATATAGCAGCCACATGAAATCTGAGTGTTATCTAGCCAGATCCACGATAGGGGTATTTAAATTTCATTTTCCAGTATAATTATCACAGCCTGGTGTGAATAAAATTCTTAGTATCACATTGTGGTACAGATAACGTTCAAATTTCTGAGGCTTTAAATGAGACTGAGAAACAGTTCATGAAATTTAATGTACTATGCCTTAACACATCTGTGAGGTAGTTAAGTAAACAGTACTACCCATTTTAATACATAGTAAACAGAAACATGGTTACATGACATAGCTAAGCAAAGATCAGAATAGATCACAGAGGCTTAGGGCTTTCTCTCTAGTTATAATCCACAACTATGAAAAGAAATCCTAGACTTAAGTGGGATTGGTTGTAGAAGCTTGGTATAGGTGAGAATTTTCTTTATACTGCATAAAGCATGTTCTTTTGCTAAGTAATAGTCAGAACACTTAGAATATGAGAATGTCAGACCTAAATGGGCCTGAAGATCATCTAGCCTGATAACTTTCAATCTTTTAAAACTATGATACATGGAAATGAATAGATTTTTTTTGAAATGAATAGATTTTTTATAACAAAAACTTCATGGAATAATCCTTACTTTAACCATGGGGAGGTACTCTGAAATTTTCTGTCCTATTCTGTTTCATTCTATTTCATTTTTAAACAATTTGGGTCTGATTTCACAAAATTGATTTTTATGACCTGTGCATAATCACAGTTTCAGTTTGAAGAACATTATTTTGGTCTGTCGTGTGCATCTTACAGTTAAGGAAACAGGCTCAGATGGGGAAGTGATTTGCTAATGTATATGGCTAGTTAGGGGTAAATCAGTGCTAAATTAGAATTTTAGGAAGAAAAGCCTTTCTACTTACCTATAGTAAAGAAGGATTTGCTGTTCCTTGCAGTCCGAGTGAATGCCTTTTGTTCTTTTCATCCTTAATTGCTCTGTATTGTACAGTGGAGAATGTAAGGAACTAGGAGATAGTAGATGGGTTTGAATGATGAATGAACAATGTAGAGGCCTTCTTGGCCTCTTTTCAACAAGAAGGTTAGGTTAAAGTATTATTATTTTTAATTTTATTTTAATTTTTGGCAGTACTGGGGTTTGAACCCAGAGGTCCTCTACTACTGAGCTAAATCTCCAACCCTTTAAAAAAGATTTTTTTTGTTAAATAATTTTGAGACAGGGTCTTGCTAAATTGCCTGGATTCTCCTGCCTCATCCTCCCCTAGTTCTGCGATTTCAAGCATGGGCCACTGTGCCTTGATTAAATTATTTTTAAATTAATGATTTTAGTAGATATACATGAACACGATTCTAAATTCAGAAGACACTAAACATTTACAATGCAAGAGTCTCCTTCTCCCCAGTTCTTGTCACAGGGCCAACCTTATTTTTAATCTTTTTTTCCCCTTTTTTTATATTTACTAGGAATACGGACTAAATGATTTATAAGGTTCCCTTAGGCCTTACTGTTGTAGGATCCTAAAGAGCTAAATGTGAGAGGAATCAACACTTTAACTTTTATATAGATGCCTATTATTATAGACAGACTGTAAATAAAAGTAAGACACATGATCCTGTCTCCACCCATTCTCTCCCTAGTCTAATTCCCAAAATGCTGACTGTATTATCTGTAGCTGATCTAAGTCTTTGAAGTAGAGCCAGCAGAATGAGTGGTGTTCCCCTCTGAAAGCCTTCAGGCACCCGTCTGTGGGATGGGGGTTGATGCATTTTGCTGTAATGTCATAGGGAAGATTATTTATTTAAAGATGCTCACTCTTGCAGAGTTCTTACCAATACCTAATGAAGTAGTCTGTTTCTTCTGGGAAAATATTACAAAGATGAGTTGGGGATGGGAAATGTCTTTTTATCATCTTCTTAGCTACCACTTGTTTTGGTTAGAATGATAATTGAGCCCTTAGTCTGGTACTGGTACTAGTACTGGTACTGGTAGCAGCCTGGCACCTAAACTGTATGTAAGCTTTGTATTTTTCTTTTAGCTTTCAGTGTTGAATTTGAATGAGATACAACTTCCTTGCTCTGAAGATGTTAGACATATGGTTGTGATCTGGATCCCAGAAGAACCAGAAAAGAATGTGTGGTGAGTGTCATGTCTAGAACCTGGAAAGCCTTTATCCTTATATTCTACAAATCCCTACAGGTCTTTTTTGTGATCTCCCTTTTAGCTACCTTACTGCAAGAAGCAGAATGACAAACAGAGAGAGTGGTCCTAGTCTCTGTCTCTCTCTCTCTTTTTTTTTTTTTTTTGTGGTAC